CGTCATGAGGTGACTGTGACTCTCTGGTGACATCACAAGACTCTCCGGGACGTACCCAGGAGCTCCCCCAGCCTCAGAGACAGACCCTGTGATGCAAAGCCCATCTGGCGGCGTGCTTCACACCTCCGCGTTTGCTCAGGTCCCGTTCAGACGGTCCCTGTTGCTGTTGGTTGTTGTGCCAGCATCACACACTCAGAGAGCGGTTGGGGTTGTCAGGGACCTCCGGAGGTCATCTGGTCCAAGCCCCTGCTGAAGGAGGGCCACTCTGAGCCGGCTGGACCCTGGGCACCACTGGAAAGAGCCAGGCTCCATCCTCTTTGCACCCTCCCTTCAGATATTGAGATATATATGGAGAAGATCCCGCGAGCCTTCTCTTCTCCAGGCGGAACAGTCCCAGCTCTCTCAGCCCCTCCTCACTGGAGAGATGTTCCAGTCCCTTCCTCATCTTGGTGGCCCTTCGCTGGACTCTCTGCAGTCTGTCCCTGTCTCTCTTGTCCTGGGGTACCCAGCACTGGACACAGCACTCCAGGGGTGACCTCACCAGTTCTGAGCAGAGGGGAAGGATCTCCTCCCTCGACCTGCTGGCAATGTTCCTCCTCATGCAGCCCAGGACACCATTGGCCGCCTTTGCTGGCTCAGCTTCAACGTAGTGTCCACTGGGACCTTCTCCGCAGAGCTGCTTTCCAGCCGGGCACACCCAGTGTGTCCTCTTGCCTGGGGCTGTTCCTCCCCAGGGGCAGGAGTTTGCATGTCCCTTGGTTGAACTTCAGGAGGTTCCCATCAGCCCATTTCTCCAGTTTGTCAAGGTCCCTCTGGGTGGCAGCACAATTTCCTGGTGTCTCAGCCACTCCTTCCAGTGTGGGATAGTCAGCAAACTTCCCGAGGGTGCACTGTGCCCCATCATCTAGATCACCAGTGAAGAGGAGGAGGATCAGACCCAGTATTGACCCCTGGGGTACACCGCAAATGATCGGCCTCTGTCTAGGCTTCATGCCACTGATCAACACCCTCTACTTAAAGACCTGGAGCATCAACATTCAAAATCACTTCTTCACAGATCAGAGACTATTTGCAAAGTTCTGCCTCCCCCAAGCCTTCTGCTGTCTCCAAAACCCTGAGAAGTTTCTGCGCCATCATTTATTGGTCTGTTAGCATTTTCACCTTCAAATACAGGAACTCTGGAATATAATGTAGGATCTGTTGAATTGTTTGCCACCTTCTCCACCTTTCCTGAAAATACCATTGTAGCACCACATGCTGAAACCGCCTGTCTGAATCATTTTGCGCTCCCTGCAAATACACTGAGGACACCACCGCAAAGCTCAGAGACGCTCGGGGAGCCACCAGAGCAGACATTTCCAAAACCACAAAGGTTTTAAATCCCTTTGGCCGAGGTGGGTCTTGGGTCCTGAAGGAAGCCACAGGTGCAAATCAGACCCATGGTGCCCTCCCACAGTTTCTGCACAATGGTTGGCATCAGAAAGCTTGTGAAAAAGAAATGTCATCGCCAAGGCCTTCCCTAGAGCTGCACACCCACCACAGAAAGCCTTTGGAGAAAATTGATGGAGAAACACAGCCAGAACCATCTCTCCTACCTCTGCTGTGCACCAGAAGCAGTGCTAGACCTTTGCCTCCCTCACTGCTGAGTGACTTGATGACAGATTTCATGAAGGTCAAAGGCTGCATCATGACTCCCAAGTTCAAAAAAAGAACCGCTGAGATCGATCCCCACTGTTTGCAGTTTCTCTTGCTGCCTGTTGGCTCACAGTTGTCACCCAAACTCTTGCGATATTCTGCACTGAAGCTAGGTGAGGTCTCATCCTGACCTCCAGGACTGCCCCAAGTCCTTTCAAGTCAGCTGGATGGCACCATCAGGATCGGGTCCTGCGACAGTTCTCTCTGTCCCACAGCAAGATGTAGGTGCTCCCTCCGAATATTTAAGCCAAGTTTCATGAGGCAGGAGTTGGAGTTCTCGCGGTCTGTCCCTGCAGTGCAAATCCATTCCTGATCCTGCTGCTTCCGTGGCGTTGTTCAGGTTGCAGAGAAGGGTCCAGGAGGTTGGATCTGCAACCCAATGCTACTAAGAAACAGGCATCAAAAAGCCCCTCTGCAACCACTGCCAGAGCAGAGGGACACGCTGACCACTCTGCAATCACGCCCAAAGACACAGTCATAAAAATAAAAGCTTTTTATTTTTTTTTTTTAATATACCATTACAGAAACATCTGAGTAACATTCTCAACAGGACGGGCAGCGCCGCAGCCCTGGGGGCGAGCACAGGCAGCCAGCTCCAGGGTCTGCCGTGCCGTGCTCCCGAGCTGCCGCTGCTCTTGGTGCACGATGCCCCGCTCCTCGCCCTCAGCGGGGAGGCCCAGCCCTCCCGGCGTCAGGGTGTCACCTTTTTGTAGGTAATGTGGAGGTGTTGAGTCATGGGCTGCGTAGTGGTTGCCATTGAGACAGTTTGTTCGAGTTTCCCATCGGAATTGAGCCTGAATTTTCTGGTAATCTAAAAAGGGGGTAAGAAAAGAAATAACAAAATCAAGTGAACGGCATCCACAGGCTAAATTCCTTACCTGCGCTTTCTACCTTCCCTTTGCCATCCTTGTGTTTGCTGTCAATGCACCACTGATGGAAGGATATGCTCACTACAGGCATGCGAGTAAACAAGGAGAAGTTTTCTCTCCTAAAGGCGGCAGCCCTTTCCAAAATACCACCTCCAAGCCCCAAGACCTTCATCCACGGAGCAACGCAGTGTCCTGGCACTACTACTGACATCACCTCAGCACAGACAGGCCAACATCCCTCCACCTGAAGAGTGGCTCCCGGCAGCTCAGGGAGATGCTCTGCACTGGACAACATCCCCAAGTCAGCCTTCAAAACCACTTGGGCTCTCTGCAGGTCACCACACCGTGCCAGAGTAAGGCGTTGCTCACGCTACATGGGGAGATCAGAGCCTGCCGAGCCTCGGCTTGCACTTGCAGCAAGGCGGGGGTTCAGCTCTGGGACCGGAGGGAAGAGCGCTGCCATCCATTGAGAGGGCTTGACAGGCGACATCGTCCCCATCCCTCCACCCGGGCAGGCTGCGAGTCTGTCTGTGCTGCACCAAACCTCAAGAGAGGCAATTTGGGGTTGCCCTGTGGAGCTGGACCACTTAGGACCCGTGCAAGCAGATGCTTGAACCCAGGCTTCAGTGGCTTCCAAACCAGAGGAGGGAGCAGCTAAGCGTCCAGTGTTCAGCACAGGTTGCAGGCCTGCTCCTAGCTGTCACCAAAATAAAGGAGAAAAGTGGGACCACCCCTTTTGAACTTCCGTTCCTGTTCCAGAATAACGCTCCGGAGGGTGTCACTCCAGCTGCCCAGCCCGGCCGCAGAATGGCCACGTAACTCGGCGTGAGCGCTGCTGTAAGGAGGTAGCTTGGCACGGACCCCGCACACCCAGCACTTCGGCCCTTCGTGTGATTTCAGCACGGATTCACTCCACATCATCCAGAAGAGCTGTCTATACTGCGTGGTGACCTCTTGCTGCTTCCCGTGCCAAACAAATCCCAGGGGTGAACAGAAACAAAGTCCTGCGGACAGCAGGATAACCCGCAAGCACAATTAATTTGCAGTCACTTAAACCAGCCCCATTTAGAAATTCCTAAAATGCAGAGGCTTTTGCAAATGCATTCGTTTCCGGTGAAGGTCACTCAAGGGCATGTCCATGAGCTATCTCCAGTCTGCATGCTCCGAGATAGCGTCCCCTCCGTTAACACATCCGTTCCTACACCCGCAGAGTGCCCTTAATGCCAATATCCAACACCTCCCGCCAGCTGAGAATGAAGCTACGCAGGGCTGTGGAGGACGCGCCGCTGTTCTGACATTCATGGGGGCAACAGCAGGAACAGGGTCATATGCAAATGATGTTTTGATTAATATTTGCTGATCAGATGGGACTTTCTTTGTAATGCACGACAGTGTTCCTCAAATACCCTAAGCAGGAAAAGGCAATTAAAAGGAATACAATACACTCGTCTTGAACAAGAAATTATCTTGCAACGTGTGACCTTAGCTCAGGGTTTCTGAACGGCCCATTTTCTTCTGAATGGACCACTGCAGGTCAGACAACAAAGTCTGAATGCCAAAACGAGAAAATGAAATGAACTGGGCAAAAAAGAAGAGAGGCATTTTCTTTTAAAAGCGAGCTTCAGTCAAAGGCTCCATGTACATCCGAGACACACAGGGAGACTGCTACTCCCCACACAGGAGAGGAAACATGAAGCACTGGGAAAGGGCCATGGAAAATTGCTGAATTCAAGGTAAGTGACATCCACTGCTCTCCCCTCGTCCAGCAATCCAGTCATTTTATCACAGAAGATAACCAGGTCAGCCAGGCACCATTTACCCATGGTAAAACCATACTGACGGTGCCCAATCACCTTCTCCTTCATGTGCAGAATCTCCAGGGGCTGAAGTGAGGCTGACCAGCTTGTAGCTCTCCCGGTTGCCATCAGGCACTTTCTGAAGATGGGTGACCCACATGCCATGGGTCATGGGTCTCCAGTCATCGGGAAACTCGCTGATCTCCATCACCTTTCAAAGATAACACAGCAGCCTTGCAGGTGCATCAGCCAGTTCCCTCAGTACCCACATACTGCGAGGCCAGTCCTGAAGTCTAAAAATATTTAAAAACGTGCCTGTTCTGCAGACGCTCCCAGGGGAACATAAGCAGGGTGTTTGGAAACAAACCCGGTCTAAGAGTGCTCCTCCACTCCCTGCAGAGCATCTCTTATCTATACGCACAGGGTGGGAGCTGAGAGCCACTTGCTCCTCAGAGAGGTAGGAAGAGTCTAATACGCTGCAGTTGTGCCCTTACATCCCGTCAGCATCGCCTCTAGCAGGGTCAGAGCCCCAGGGACTGCTCCCCTCCATCCATGTGGGGAGCTCCCCACATCTCAGCACGGCCACGCCAGCGAGCACCTGCAACACAGCCCTGGCCCAGGGAACGGGTTTTCCTGCCTGAATTATGGCTCGGCCGAGCCACAGCCATCCCGGATCACTTTTCACTGGGAACACAACATTATGGTGAAGTTTTCTCAAAATGAGCAACTAAAGCAGCAGCACATACGCCCTTCTCACGACACTTGTGGTCTCTTCATTTCCATGGGCAATTCATGCTGTTCTTGGTGAAGAAGAAAACGCGTTGGGAGCTGGTTACCTGCCATGCCCTCTCATTCCACATCCTCCTTCACCAGCAACGGCCTCCCAGATACTCATTGTGACCAGTACCTGGGCCTGAACTTCCCTAAGGTGCCAGCTGAGCATGGACCTTCAGCTCGGGAAGTTCCCTTTTCCAGCCTTCAGCCAAAGCCAGCCTTACAGCCCTCAACCAGCAAGACATTCGCTGGCTTTCTGTTGCCTTCCCCTTCTCCTCCTGCCAGTTCATCTGCTCACATTTCAAGCAGTGACTCTGAGAGGGTGGCCCATTTTATTTAAATGTTTGTAATTAAGAGCTCCACTGCCTTGGTGATATCCATAGTATTTAACGGCTTTATTTCTCCTGCTATAGAAAGGAGGCAATACAGCTGCTTCTGGGAAAGGAGAAACCCAACAACTTAAAACACGCATCTGAAGGGGAGTTAGGACATTGTTTGTGTAGGCACATACGATTTTTGGCACATCAGTGAATTTAGGGAGCACGCCTATGACACTGGCTGCATTGCACAAACTTGTGCTCTCAGTTACCTATGGGTTGGTTTTATAGCGCACAAAAACTATGTTGCAAAATTAAGCCTTAAAGTCCAGAATGAGACAATACTGTATTTGCTGCAAAGTAATGTCTTCTCTCCTGAGAGCCACACCTCACTTGTCACCCTTCAAAAACTCCTGTCGGTCACTTGGTTCACATGTTATCAGAGGAAACAAAACAGATGCAAGAACATGCCAGTACCTACTCTTTGTGAGAGCTTGTTCAACCTTGCTGTCTTTCTCAGCTGCTAGTCAGCCAAGACAACTTCGTATGTGACAGCTAGGATTCCGGCGGTGGCCTCAGTATGCCACAATAACTCCAGTAGTGCCATCTTATTCGCAGCTGGCTGTACCCCATCCAGCTGTGTCAACAACAAACCACCACTACATGAAAAAAAAAAAAAAAGTCAAAACCCAAGAAGCAGTCAACCAAGACTGGAGCTGACAGTAAGTGCCAGCCCTGCCAAGCAGTCACAGATGGGAGGAGAGCCCACAGCGACTTGTGAATGCCCTGAAAAGCAAGCAAGCAAGATTTGCGAAGGCAAGGTGGAGCTCCAGTGAAAGGCAGGTGTTCCTAAAATATCCTGATGAGGCCCAATACTGGACATACCTTATGTGTACACCCTCATACTGTAATTAATCCAGAAGACTAGCATTAAGAAGTAACACCACTGCCGTACAAGAGTATTTAGACAAGACTTTCCTATTCTCTTCCCTAAGGACCTGCTACTGGCCACTGCTAGAGACAGGATTCTGGGTTAGCTGGTCTGATTCAGCGCATCAATTCTTATCTTAACGATCCCTCTGGGTCTTGTAATGTACAAAATATCTTCTGAAGGCTGTTACTGAAAGGATAAGCCAGGATGCCATGCGGTATTTCTAAGAACTCCTGATGACAATCTGTAATTAAAGCATGCTAATCAACCTATCCTCTCAACTAGACACCTTCTGGGACTAGCAATATTATGTGAATTGCTCACCACGTGTGCACTCACCTGCTCTACGTGGGGCTTCTTGGCAAAGGAGATCCTGGCTATGGAGTGAGAAGCTATAGACAGCTCTTGTCCATTCACCTCCCCTTCCTCCACCTCCACCAGACCTAGTGAGAAGCAAAGTCATATATATTATTAGGCTACAATGGTTACTTAATAATGTCAGAATTATGAGGCTATGTAATAGACCACCACTCTCTCTGAAGAACAGTTTTATTTGACCTAGCACATATTGACAACTGCAAATCCACGCAACCTCAGGACATGTAATGCTGCTTAGAAAAATCCAGCCAGACTTACTCATACCATGTGGGATGAGTATCACATTGCAACTGGCAGTTTTCCCTTCAGCACCTGCTCTGGAGTTTTAGATGCAAATTTAAGCACCAATTGGGTTTTAACACTCAAAAAACAATTTAGATGGGGTTCTCTCTCTCATTCAGTTCCTGTAAGGTGTGTAACAAGTACCAAGGCACTACTCCAGACAGTGGGAGATTCTCCTAGTTCAGGATCTAAGAAAGAAGCCTGCACTGAGATTATTTTCCAAGATTGTTGAGGGAACAGGAGGAGAGCAGCTCCCCTGCTACAGTGCTGCGGAGGCTGTTGGTAGAGCCACAGCCTGGGCAGGATCTCTAAGGGAACCCGCTATACGGGTCACACCAAACACTCCTGGATGGAGAAGCGGCAAAGAGGGTTTAAAACCACTACAGCCCCACCTTGCCAGGGCCACAAGCTCTACGCTGCACCGCAGAATCAAATATGACAAGTGTTGACATTGCTAACAACAGTTCAAGTGGGATGTGAAATCTGACCCTGCTTAGAAGGAGCAGCTGGCCAAATAGGACCCTGGCAATAGAAGAAGGACGCCGGACAGAGGAGCTCATGAACCAAGGCATGCACCTCTCTATTTCTACCACAGGGTCAACTGTGGCCAACTCATGGGAGCAGCGGGAACGAAGCATCTTATCTGTACATGTTTCCCCTGCCTCTGCACAAAAAAAGACTAGGATGCTACGAAGGCATCAAGAATGTCACTGGCCACTTATCACGTGCCATCATTAAGGCTCAGACTGCAATTCTTTTTACAGGGGCTTTTCTTTTGGTTCACAAAGTTACGTCTGCAAATATCAACATATCATTTGAGGAAAGGATACTCCTCGAGTCCCCTCCATGAGTGGTATTTCGACTTGCAGTCCTTTCCTGTCACAGAAAGCTAGAAAGCCACACTGTCTGGGCAAAGCCACATAGGCAGTCCCAGAAACTCAGTGCTTTTGACACAAGCTCATTTAATAATTTGTTTTCACTGTGGGTTCGCTGAACCCACAGTGAAAATAAATTAAATGAAATTGTGAGAGGTGCAATAATTTTCTGGAAAAGTGATGAAATGGCACAGCAGGGTAAGGACCTCTTCTTTTCCCCAGCGTGGATATCAGGTGCGTACCTGTGTTCTGGGCACTGATGAAGGCCACCTTATTAGTGTCAGGTTTGAGGCGGATGAATCCACATTCTCGGTGCATGGGCTTCCTGGTGTCCGGATGGAAGGCGTTGAACCTGAGGAGAAATCACAATACAAAAGCTGTTGCACCGAAAATACAGTGTTTGGCCTGGTATCGTCTCAGAGGAAACAGTATTTTATTTAACCGCATGATTGCCTGCAGTATAATTTGAAAAATAAAAGACTGACAATGCTTCACGGTTGGGAGATGTAAACGTGTAAAAATATAGTTACTTTACAGGCACTGCTGTTTCTTAGAGCTGAAGTTAGTTATTTAAGTTCAAGCTTCAGATTTTCCACAGCTCCTGGGTCTTTCTAAGAGCTAGCTCAGAAACTTCCTCAGGAAGTCAGACATTTCACAGATGCTGAAGCCATACTCTGTCTCAAATACTTCCTTTTCTCAAATAAATATCTGGAATTACAGTATCATCTTTATTTAGCTTTTAAACCTGGCAAGTTGTTTTTTTGGTATATTACTTGCTGCAGGCAGTAACAGAGCAGACTTATTTCTCCCACCACCCCCTTCAAAAAGAAAAAAAGTTCAGCTCAGATTCTTATTTATTCTTCATGACGCCTTAAAGTTGTATGTTTGGTCACCCATAATGTGGGTGATTATATATATCACGCATGTTCATATATTACATTAGTGCTACAGCATTCTTGAGTCTACACAGGTAACTGAATTAAACATCAGCTTGGACACAATAGCAAGCTAGTGGACTATCCTATTAGTGTTTCTTTGTTCTGGACTAATCTCTTTCTTTTCATACTGTTTTTCATAGAATTTCCCACTCTGCATCCTTCTACACGAAAGGAGACAGAAGCAACCTCGGAGCTGCTGCTGCTAAATCTGCACCCAGAACTCCCTCATGCGACAGCAGTTTCCACACGTGCCTCTGCTGTGCAACTGGGATATGCCTGCTGGAAACGGCCAACACCAGTCCCCTTGGCCACCGTGACCTGTCCTGGGACTGGGGATACGCTGTATCGTCAGCTGCCACCCCAACAGTAACAGGGCAAGTGTGCAAGAAGAGCTTGACCAAAGGGCTTGTCCAGGCGCTGGCACATGGCAAGCCGGAACAGTTATTTATTAAAGAAGCACTGAGAGCTGAAAGTCCAAAGCAAGTGTTTCCTATGTGAAGTAAAATATAATGAATCACGCAGAGTCAACATTTCTTAGAAGACCAGCAGCACAAGGTGCAGCACTTGGCACCCTTACACATGGTACAAGAAACCCGTGGGCTTCAAAGAACTGGAGACAAGGAAGAGGGAGCACAGCTAAGGCATGCAGTTAGGGAGGAGTCTGGGTGCCTTGCAGCTGCTTCTGGCTCCCCAATGTCCTCTGGGTACAAATACACAAATTACTCCACCTGTTTGGCTTTGTCTTTATATAAAGGATGTCTCCTTTTAACCATGTGGTTATAGGAAGAAACAGGAATGACTTCCATCGGTGGTGCAGGGCTGCATCCCTGCAAAGGACTGTCCTAGCATCTCAGCCTCTGTGCTCTGCAGCTAGTAAAGCCAGGTACCCTACGGAGTTTTGCCTCACGGTGGGATTATCTAGAGTCAAAGGAGGAATGAACTTAAATCAGGCTTCTTTCAGTCCTTGGAGTATTCAAGAGACACACAGACTGTCTGGTAACAGTCAAGTGGCACTGCTCCAGGAGCCAGGGAGGCACAGGGTCTCTATCCTCCAAGCCTGCTGCCTATTTTCCTGACGCTTCCCAGAGCTCAACAGCTCTGAGCTGCGTACCTCCTTGGCACACACAGACACACACACACACACAAAAAGGCGACTCAAATCACTGTTCAAAAGTTGGAGAGGGAGGTGTAGACAGAGCATGACTGTTGGAGCTTTGTTTCTTTTCGAAACTGGACTAAAAATCTCACATGCTGAGCTGGCAGCTCTGTCGCAACGAATGGCGTGCACCAGGAACACAGGGCATCTTTCACATAGTGTTGGCATCTTGTAATTATTCTTGTCTTTGGTTTTTAAAGCAACAAACTTTCCAACTCACCCCTCCCAAAAGAGTATTGGAGCAGCACTGAACAGTTAGCTAGCATGTCACTTCTCTTCCTCCAGATTACTTTTTGATTTCTCTTAGAACAATTACTTGCAGCCAAAGAGGTTAAGCTATCTGCCTCCTATCCCATATAGTTTGCTAAACACTTTAATTTTTCTCAGATTTTCACAGTGGTGAAGACTGAGGACCACAGTTTAAAATGGACAAACTTGGCAGCCATGCCATAGGTCCTTCACTTATTATATCTGTAAGTGGGAGTTTCACAAAGCAGAATGATAGCAGTTGTCATGCTATTATGTGAAGATTCATTTCTAATTAGACAGCTACCACCAGCAAGAAGAATGGTGGGTTTTTTCCTGGCCATGAGGACAGTACATCTTTTGGCTAACATATATAACATCACGTTAAAGTGGAAGGATCACTGGTCTTTCAAAGGCAGGTACAGAATTTGCACAAACAATAGTGATGTCCATGCTGGGGCCGTTCTTGGTACGCTGTTACTCTCACTATTCTAAGTTACAGTCACATTTGCAGCACCCTGAGTTACTTCTCACTATGTAACCCTCAAGACTGGCGGGCCACAAGAACTGTACACTGCACCGTGGCCACAGTCCTGATCCTGTACACGTGTGCTTCTGCACGAGTCCACAGCTGTGAACTCACTTTTGAAAAGCTCTGTAGACATGCACTGTACTCTTGGGCTAGTGAATCTTCAGTGACTGCAGGTGTGCAGCTCTCGGTATGTTGCAACAGCTTGCCAATTAATCACAAGTTTTAAATGCAAACGGAAGTCAGACCATGCAGTCACATGTCATGACATCGTACCATTTGGTAGGTGAAAACTTGTTTACTTTGCCACTGGAAAAGAAACACAACCAACAAATCTCACTGGAGCCATGCCTGCTCCGATCCAAAAGCTGCTGCCAACACAGATAAACCCCTACACTTACGAGAAGTTGAGCATGGGCTGCCCCACGTGAGAGATGTGCACTTCTTCCAGGTACTGGAAGGGCTTCATTGTAGGGAAGGTGCCGTCTCCTGGCGGGTCTGAGAGCCAGGTGCCCAGCATCCAGGACAGGGGCTCCATCACAGGATTCAGCTGGGGAGTCTCTGTGGAGGAAGAAGAAAGAAAATTCAGGGATCTGTGCTCTGCAGCTTGCTGTGAGCTGCTTACAGCTGGGAGGAGGTGAACACAAAACGCCTCAGAAATGGTCCAACGCAGCAGCAACACTTTTCTCTAGAGCAGCATCAGCTCCAAGGTGCGAGGGGAGACGGGGAACAACGAACAGTCATGGAAAGTAGGTCTGTTTTCAAACCTGCTCTTGGCCTTACATAGAGCACTCTTCCAAGTGATCCATTTCTGACTCCTCTCTGTAGCCTGATGTGAAGAGAAAGCCCCCTTCCCTCTACACGCAAGGAAGGAGAAGACTGAAATCTCAGTGTAAAGAATTATCACTAAATGGTAATTAAATCTCTAATGCTTTGGCTTGTTTTTTCTCAGGCACTGAGTATGTACCGTTCCTGTTTGTTTCAGAGGAAACAAGTCCTCACTTCAAAGGAAAAAGAAAATCAGTCTGTATACATGTTCAAGATCAAAGTTTGGCAGTAATTTTTTTCTGAAGAGGTTAACAACAGCCTGCACTTGTACAGAGAGACAGGGATCGTTCAGAAGTTGTTCTGCTTAGGCTCTAGACTAAGGCTAAGTGAAACATTTTAAAAAAACTAGGATGCCTGCAAGTTAAAGCGTAAATGGAAGAGAAAGCTACTTCCCTTTGTCATTGCATTTATTAAGAAACAACCAAGGTCTGTTTCACAAAGTTAAAACTTCTTTAACAAATCATTTTAGAAGAGCTTTGATAAACGACAGTTTTGCATTTTGCTGTGATTTCAGAGGGTGTGACCTGAAAAAAAAAAATCAGAGAAATGGAGATGTGAACAGCAAAGCAGACCCATTCCTAAGGTGTAAGGAGGGAAGGCGATACTGCACCGACGTGATCCCAGGAAAGACCAATACCAATAGAAATGACGTGCCCACTACTCGAGGTTAGCTGTTATGCAGACAAGTATGACTGAAGTATACTTAAAGCATGTCCTCCTCCCACTCACGTGACAAATGACTCATACTGGCAGGGTGGGAGTTGAAGGGGGTCATTTTCCACACCTAGTGATATCGCCTAATACAAGACAAGCTACCTGCCTGGCTGGTCTAAAAGGCATGGACTCAGCTGCAGGGAGAAATTATGACTTAAAAAGGTGATGCTGTGGGTAAAAATTTGCTTGGTAAGTGTGAGTTTCACTGTGCTCAGTCCCAAACGTCAGGTCAAAAAGACTGAGCGAGAAGGAAGGACAGAGGGTCTGCACCTGGAATGCCAAAGAAGGGGGAACAGAAACTTTCCCGGGTAAAAAAGAATTACCACTTTTGTTATTTATTCTCCCACAGATAGAAGCTTTAGAAAGCCAGCCGGCATGTCAGCAAGATGCTGCTATGCATCTTTATCCTGAAGTATTCGGCAAGTGAAGCAACATAAGAAAACATAAGAGCTCACTATGAAATAGGTGATAAAAATCTACAGCATCAGAGCCAGCCTTTGCAAAGACCATCCTGCCAGCCGGTGCATCCACCACCAGCTTACCAAGGTGTTAAGACAGGGTTCCTACAATCCACACAGCAGTGTTAGTGTACCGGACAGTACTTCATTGTACTTACCTTCCACCTGTGCTGTGAGGAACCAAAGCAACAGAACATTATTTTCTGATGCAGCAAAGACCTTAACACAGTGATGACTGATAACAGAAGTCCAAAATTACTGCTACAAGAAACCCCATACTTCTACACTGCTCCTTAGGAACCAGATTCCCTTTCTACTTTCACGTTGAGAGCACGCAGTTTTGCGAGTAAGGAGAGTATCACTACCCCATCCAACTGGTATTTGTCTTTCACTTGCTACTGCATACACTGCATTTCTTTCCAGGCTTTTTGCAGGCCCAAACTCCCACCATGGAAGGGAAAAGCAAAGCTTTGGAAAGGCTCGAAGAGACTGCAGCCTGGGCTGCTGCTGCCCTCTCCTGGGTCAGGAGGTGGCAACAAAGCCTAGGAGCCTAATGCTTTCTGTCACCACAGCGCTTGTAATAGGGCACTTCATTTTCTTCTGCTTACCAACTTTGCAGCATTTCAGGGAAAAGCATCAAAATGACAGAAGATATGGCTTTAGCCAATTCCACTCGCTAGACTCGGTTATAAACCAAGAGAAGCCAACCGATCATTTCCAGAACCTACGGCTTGACCCCATTGCCTTGCTGTGCAGCATCCAGCCTGGCTGGAGGTGCTTGACCAGGCAAGCTAGTCTCAATTCCAAAGAGCTGGACTTCTAGCCAACTGAAAAGTGAAGATGTAACTGTATATCCTGAAGTTTACAGCATCTGGGCAAACAACATGGCCAAGCGACTGTTATTACTTTTCCAAACTACGTAGATGGCAGCAAAGCCAACAATGAGTTTTTTAGTTCTTATGTTGCTTGGAAAAGCCGAGAGCAACAGAAGTGCTAGTGGGAATAAGGACCAGAGACTCAATGAAGTGCAGAAGAGAAAACACATCCTGATCACACCCTATGCAGTGCTCTTCTTACCTTCAGCATTGGTCTCTGACTAGTGGACTAAGTCCTTTTTTCTCCCTGGCAGCCGTCTGTGCCAGAGGGCTGAGCTGAGAGGTGGAAAAGCAAGAGTGGGGAGGCAGACAGGGGAGAGGCTGATCGAGTCCATCGGGAAAAAAAAAAGTGGTGATTTGAAAAGAAATTTGCTTCTTATGTCGTGGTTGGGGTGGGTAAATGCAAGACTATTGTAGCAACAAAAAGTAGAGTTTAAAGAGGAAAATATCTTTGTCTGCTGAGCTGCTTTGTTTCAAACAACAGGTTTATAGATGCAGTCACTGGGAAGAGGAATTTCACTGATGAAGGAGCGTGTACTTTCCTTTTTAAAGATCTAAACTCTTGGCGCATCATTTTTACAAAAAACGTGCTACTATGGCTTAGGAAAAAAGCGTGTGACGATATGAAGAATACAAACCACGTCTGAGAATTTGCAGTGCAAGACACACTGGCCACCCTTCTGCATGTTTAAAGCCTCAGACGGGGTCCTCTTAATGCTCGTTCTCTGGCATCCACATGCAGAGTTGCTCTTTTATCTAATAACAGGGAAGCTCACACTACAGCCTCTTTCTTAACAAGGACATTCCTGGAGTCACTTCCCCCTACCAGAGGATAGACTTTCTTGAAGCCGTTAGGGACCCAGCACCTTCGAGACCTCCGCTCCTCTATGAAATCTGACTGAAATCACGACTCTCACAAGTTGCAACAGCTTGGGAGACAAAAACCACAGCCACATAAGCAACCTGATCACCTAGATCTCTTTTCTTCAAGAAGCCACTCAGGCCAAGACTGCCATGCCCAGTCCTAGGCACACAAGTCAGCTCCATTTCACCATTCTGACCCCACTTCACCCCTCCGAACTCACAAGTGGACTGTTTCCACATCTTTCCCATTCACGGAGGGTTTAGAAGCCAAATCCCTCCCTGCACTGTAATAAAGTCAGACTGCAACTGGTTGTCCACGCTTTGCAGTGGGAGACAGCACGCTCTCCCCGCTGTGAGACAAACCAGACAAAGCGGTTGGACAGCCCCCTCGGGCCATGTCTACACAGGCTTCAGCCAGCGTGCTCTCAAGTGGGATCCCTGGCATGGAAAGCTATGCTGGCACAAATTCCTACGCAGCTTTATCAGCAAAATTGCAGCGTGAGCAGCCAGCTGGTTGCTAACAAGGCAGCTAACCTATTTCCCCTAAGCTGGGGAATACTTGCTGCAGGAAACTTAAGCCAAAAAAAAAAACCAAACCCAAAAACAAAACCCCGAAAAAAAACCAAACCAACTCACACAGCACCTTAGAATCATAGAATCATTAAGG